GGTTCCTTATTATATTTATACTATAGAGGACCCCCAAAACCCTATTCTAATTATTAAGGCCCCTGCGTTATGTAGGGTTTGGTCACCCTTGACCCTGAAACTTAGTTTCACTCCAGGGTTTAGAAGATTAGGGTTTAGGGTGTAGGGGTTTAGGGCCTCAGTTTAGTTTAGTTTCGGATGTGGAAACAGGGTTTGGGGCTTAGGGCCGTTCAGGGGGTTTCGCGGTTTGCAGGATTTAAGGGATTTAGGGTCAAGAGCGTAGGGTGCAAAGCTTGAGGGGTTGTAGGGCCTGAGTTTACCGATAGTTTCTATTATAGCTCCTTTTTGTTTAACCAGTTTTCCATTTAGGATGCCACAAGGTAGCCCCCCAAAAGGAACTGCAAGGGAGACTACAGGTAGTTTAGTCTGTACATAAGGGGTTTAGGGCTTAGAGTTAGAGGGTTGAGGGGTTAGGGGGTATGGAGTTTACACAAGGGTTCAGGGTTCATATCAGGGGTTTAGGCTTAGGACTAAACGGGTTTAGGGCTTGAGGGTTGTAGTGTCTAAGGGGTTTAGGATCTCAGGGGTCTCGGGTCAAGGGTTTCAAGGTTTCGGGTTTAGGGTTTAGGGTTTAGGGTTTAGAGTTTAGGGTTTAGGGTTTAGGGTTTAGGGTTTAGGGTTTAGGGTTTAGGGTTTAGGGCTTTGGGTGAAGAGGGTTCTAACCCCTAAACCCTAAACCCCTATAGGGCTTCCTAAACCTCATAGCTCCTTGAACTTTGGAGAGGCTTCAAGCTCCGGGGCTTCAGCCTTTGCTGTTTTTCATGTAGAGAGGGTCACAACCGGTTAAGGTTTAGGGTTTAGGGTTTAGGGGTTAGGGGTTTAGGGTTTAGGGGTTTAGGGTTTAGGGTTTAGGGTTTAGGGTTTAGGGTTTAGGGTTTAGGGAGGGTCACAACTTATTAATTAGGGTGACACAAGGAAGCCCTCCCCGCCAGGAGGAGTGGCCGACTGAGAGCCCGGCCTTTCCACCTCTTCCGACCCCCTGCCGGGCCCGTGCGCCTCCGCAGATCGGAGAAGGAGGCGGGGTTTAGGGTTCAGGGTTTGGAGTTTGGGGTTTAGGGTTTAGGGTTTAGGGTTTAGCGCCTGGTTCGTGTGGTCTGGGGTTGAGGTAGTAAAAAAATCCCAGGGAAGTCCCGGTGTAGCTATAGACCCTATAAGCCCTAAACCCTGAACCCCAATCCCTAAACCCTGAAACCCTAAACCCTGAAACCCTTTTCCCTAAACCCTTAAACCCTAAACCCTGAACCCCTAAACCCTGAACCCCTAAACCTTAAACCCCTAAACCCCTAAACCCCGAACCCTAGACAAAACCCTGAAACAGATCCTGCGACCGAATCGAGCTACGAGCAGCAGACGTCGCCACTTGGAGAAAGTAGCGTGGAGTAGCTCAAGGTTTTGTGGGTTTAGGGGTTTGGGTTTAGGGTTTAGGGTTTAGGGTTTAGGGTTTAGGGTTTAGGGTTTAGGGTTTAGGGTTTAGGGTTTAGGGTTTAGGGTTAGGGTTTTTGTGGGTTTTGTTTAGGGGTTTAGGATTTAGGGAGGGGGTGTAGGAAGTTTAGGTGTGTAAGCGCCGTAAACGCTGATGAGGGCATTCATTGCCTCGTGGCCCCAGGAGCACTTCAGGAAAGCTGCTTGCTCGGCGGCAACAAAGAGCCTCCTGAAACCCTACATTGAACAAATGTTCCAATATGGCTCGGGTTGGGTGAAGTTTCGTTCCTTGCGCCTGTCGTGTTGCTGCGTAGTTGGGCGGGTTAGGGTTAGGTTGGAAGTCCTTACGGTTGTGTACTATATAGGGGCCCAAAACATAATTACCAATATTAGTCTGGGAATCCTTATTATATCTACAGTGTAACATACCCCCAAAGCGTTACACGTCTTAAGGTCCCTAAATTATGTGGGCGTAACTCGAAATCTCGTTTGCCCTCTGCAGCCCTCTTCTATGACTACGGTGCTTCGAAGCCAAGATCCCCGACAACCCAATTGTTTAGATTACCTTAACTGTCAAGTTACTAGTATTATCACTCTTCTTCTTCTGCTATGATTAAGGTCATGTTTATGATACTGATTGTTCTAATTATTGCTATGAAATCGCAAGAATTGTAATTGTTATGGCTACTGTCACTGTTAAGGAATTGTAGGTTATCGTTATTGCTGTGATGACCATTATGACTATTATCATGATTGCCATGGTTATTGTAATTATGATTGCGACCATGACTATAATTATAATTATCCCTGTTATCAACAATATCTGCTAAACCCCAAACCCTGAATCCTCTACGTTTACACCCTAAATCATAAGCTCCGGTCAGCCCTCGACATCTCGGATTTATGGATGCTTGGCTCGAAGATGATGAGGCAGGAGAGGAGGCGAGGATGGCGGCATGAGGAGCAGGATGCTAGGGGAAGAAACCCCAAAACCCTACCTAAACCCTACACCGTAGACCCTGAAATTTAGCCCTATGCCATCCTAAACCGAGTAGGTGTCTAAACCCTACACCGTAGACCCTGAACTCATATTTCGCCCTGAACCAGCCTAAGCCGACTAGGGGGGGGAATGGGTCGCTCTTTTGGCCGCGAGGCCGATCCCTGCTGCAGAAGCCCTGAGCTTGCTGGAAGCCCCGGAGGCGACCAGGGTTTAGGGTTTTGGGTTTAGGGTTTAGGATTTAGGGTTTAGGGTTTTGGGTTTTGAGTTTAGGCTTTAGGGTTTAGGATTGGGGTAATTCGTACTTAGGGTTTTGGCTCTAGGGGTTTAGGGATTTCTTCCATTGAGTTTTCACGTTGAATCCCCGATCTAGTTCTCTGCGCCTGTACTTCAAAACTTTATTCGCCGGTCGAAGCAGGCAGAGTAGATTCGATGTCGCGAGTCCTAGTTTACCAGGACTTCATGCATCATCAGCACCGCAAGCTCCGGGAAACCCTAAACCCTAAACTATGGGAATCCCTAAACCCTAAACCCTAAACTATCGGAATCCCTAAACCCTATCGGAATCCCTAAACCCTAAACCCTA